AGGGGCAGGAAGATGTTCTGGAAGCTCTGTGAGCAGAAGGCATTCATAAATATACAAGACAGGCCCGAAGAATCCAGTGTGTGGCAGTGACAGTAAAGCTCTTTGGTAAGGTTCTCTGAGGGGCTCACAACATCTCACTGCACCCTCCTTAGTGGAAAATAATCATTGCAATATCTTGCTAAGGAAATGAGAGTATCTTCTGAACAACAGAAAGGTAACAGGCTAGTCATCACTCGACTAGATAAAAATCAGACTTCTCAGTGCTTCCCTGGAGGATGGGGCCAGCCCCTCCAGACCACGGAGACCCCCCAGCGTGGCAAAGACAACTTCCTGCGACCCTCCTGCCCTCCAGAGGCCAGACCCCCACAGGGGCCTGATTAAGCACGTTTATGCAGACGGGAGAGCTGGAACGCAGGAAGCAGCAGGAATGGGTTTGTTCATTAGAAGATAACGTTTACCGAGCACCTACGATCTGCAGGCGGCGAACACAGTGAGCACTACGTGGAACTCGTAAATGCGGCAAAAAATAATTAAGCAGAATCTTCAGTTTGAGAAGTGCAGGTGCTAACAAGAAGGGGAGCACCAGGGTTCAGCAGGGTGGAAACTGCCGCTGATTCCAGTAAGAAGAGTTTTTGGGAAAGTGATCGGCGGGGGGTTCTGGAGAGAACGGAGCGGATGGGGGCTGGCGGGGCCCAGGAGCTTTGGGAGGCGCCGGAGGCTGGAAGCGCGAGTAGGACTGAGAGCGGGCGTCTTCGCTGAGACAGCAGAACTGAGCACACGTTGGTCAGCTGACCAGGGCGATACGTCAGGAAGAGGAAAGCCATGCAGGTGACGCAGGACAGACGTCACACTGCCTCCCTGGCTACTACACACTCTGCGAGCTCTTCGCCGTTTTTCCCCTGCGTCTCTGATTCCCCGTCGATCAACCTGAAATTAGCAGAAGCAATACATTCTTGCTCTGTCTTCCAGGAGATAAAATTCTAATTCATCAGATGACTTGCTTTGGGCAGGAGGAATAAAAACGAGAAGTGGAAACTTTAATCTGCGGTAAGTCACGGCCTACAGGTGCCAGGAGGGTGCGTGGGACTTTCCACAGCTGGCCTGCGACATCAGAGGAGACCTCTGTTGAGATGACAGCTCTGAAGGAGTGGGGGGAAGGCGCTGCTGTGGGTGAAGGCGGACCTAAGGACCCCCTCGGAGTCTGGGGTGGATGCACACAGCACCTGCCGATGCTGACGCGTGAGAAAAATGGTGGCGGTGCTCCTGCGGGAAAGCAGACCCCAGCGAGGCAGCGTGACCGTCCGGTGCAGATGCCGACCTGCCACAGAGGCAACGCCTGACAGTGACAGTGTGACAACTCCCCATTTGCTTCTCCTCCTGCCCAAAGCAAATCATCTGATGACTTGTAATTTTACCTCCTGGAAGACAGAGCAAGAATGTATTGCTTCTGTAAATCTCAGGTTGATCAAAGGGGAATCAGAGATCCTGGGGAAAAACAGCAAAGAATTTAGAGTGTGTAACAGCCAAGGACAGGAAATTCCATCCTTTGACAAAGACCATTGGTGCCTGTCAGGGGCCAGGCACGTTCCAGGCGCAGGAGACACTGATGTGACTGAAACAGACCGCAGTGTGGCCGTCTGACGACGTGCCAGCCCGCAGACTGCACAACTCAGAGTCAAGGTGAGCGATTCTACAGCTGGGTTCCAGGGCACCAGGGCTGGGAGTGCCCGAGTGGGAAATGAGCATAGTAACTCCTAACCATTCCAGTGGGAGGACGGGGAAAAGGCGTCTGAGAACAGAGGACAGAAGACCTCATGGGGGAAGAAAACAGCGAGGAGAGAGGGGCCCAGACAGCAGGTGTGACCCTGAAGGGGAAGGGGCTCATGGAGGTGCATCCTCCAGGGTCTGGGGTCAGAACATGGCTCCCCCCACCCCTACCCTTTATCCCCCATGACCTCAGGTCTCTCTAACCCTCGAGTTCCTTACCTGCACCCCAGGGATGGCCCCAGGCCCTAGCTTACTGCGGGGGGGGGGGGCAGTGACACGGCTAGCCACTGCTCTTTTTAACGGGCTGGAGAAAATGCTACCAGACGAACCACACAGACGGTAGAGGCAATTTCAGACTGACTGAAGGAAGAATTTTTGGACAATTACAATTGTCCTGAACTGGAATTGACTCCTTTGTAAAGAGTGAGATTTTTACTCCAGGATGGACTCGTGCAGACAAAGGCTTCCCATCAGCCCAAGAAATTTTAGAGGGGATTTCTGCAGTGGAGGACGGGTCCTTGAGGGGACGTGGCTGACGAATAGTAAGTTCTGTGGTCCTTTGACACTTTCTTGCTGCTGAGATTTGATTTACTGTGTTCAAAGCCAAAAGCCGGGAATGCAAGGACAGAGGAAACACACAGACAGAAGGCAAGTCTGAATATAAACCGTGTATAAGTTACTAATCACCAAAAGAATAATTAAATAGAATATACTGTAGAGCACAGGGAACCCTATTTAACATCCTGTAGTAACCTGTAAGAAAACGAGTATGAAGGTGAATGTAAGTGTGTATATGCATGACTGAATCATGATGCTGTGCACCAGGAAGTGATACAACATTGCAACTGACTACACTTCAATAAAAAATGAAAGGTGCCAGGATATTTTAGTAAGTGGATTGTCTCCTAAGAGATAGCAAAGAAGAGGAGGGTATGGGTGAGGTGGCGTGAACGAATGAGAGGGGAGGGAGGAAGAGGCAG